TCTTCTTATAGTGAGGCACCCAAAACTGCACACAGTACTCGAGGTGGGGTCGCACCAGTGCCGTGTAGAGTGGGACAATCACCTCCCTCAACATGTTTCTTAGTATAACCTATTCTGTAATTCCCATATCATTTGTACCCTGGTATTAAACTGTGAAACTAACTGTTTTCTCTTGGCCATGTTTCTAATGCTTATCTTAGAAGAAGAACCAGGTACTCCAATCCACCCAACTGTTTTTTAACATTTGTGAGCAAGCACATCTAACTCCCTACTTTTACATGGCCTATTACTGTCGCTGTTGACCACATCAAAGACAGGCTGTGAGATTAGCTAGACCTCTGCTTAAGTATAGTCAAACTAAATCTTTGCAGGAACAGCAAAATTATAACTAGAACATCATACTTTACATACTGGTGAATTCAGAGTGTGATTACATGGCTGTTTAAACTGACTTGTTTAAAGCCCAGCTGTTGTCTCACCTTGCTTCATTAACACCAGCACTGGTGTCTTATTCCACCAGCTTGTCTGATCCCACTGAGCTGTTGACTTGTGGAAGGGGCAGAGGAGAGGAATTAATAATATTCCTGTTTTTTGTCACTGAAGTGGTTCATTGTGGGAGAAGACAAGTACCAGCCACAGGTCGTCTTGTCTTAAGTATGGGCTGTGGCAGTGTCCTTAACCTATTGGGGTGTACTCTTCTTTGCAACTGTAAGCTAGCAGGAAATTTATAATGCAGAAAGAAGGAAACAAGTAAAAAAAGTACATATAGCATGGTTGTACTGGAGAACTCTTGCTGTGCTTTTGATGAGCTTGCATTCTTGCTGCAGAATTAGTGGCTTGCTGTGATATGCTCATTCCCACCTTCTGCTTCTTTTGCGTAGCCTTGACTTAATATAGCCATATACATATACACGTGCACACACACACACACACAGACATAGGCAGTATATGCTGCCAGTGTGATAGTGGCAATGTGAAAGTAGGGACTTGCTCTGAAAGCTGGTTGAAGTACATCTGCCAGGCTGCGTGTTTCTGTGTTTGACTAATGGGAGGACAAAGGGCAGTTACACACTGCAGAAGTTGCTATAATTCTGTCAGCTGAGCTCTTTCAGTAGTAGTACTTAAACTGCATATATAGCTGTCTCTTTCCTAAATTTAGCCAAAAGGGAAATGCATCTCAATTCCAGAAAGTGTTTGTAATGTAGGGGCTTTTTACATAGATAATCCTAGCAAAGAAAACAAACATTTTGGAAGGGTTCCTAGAGAGTTACTTAATGTTAATATTAACTTTATTCTTTGAGAGAGAGAAGAAAGCAAGTGATTTTTTTTTTCCTGATATAGCGGACTTTAATGAAGACCGTATCTTTTTTCTGACAGAGATCAGTTTGGAAAACAGAGGTGTGTTTTTTATCATAGGGGTGAAAAAGTTAGTTTTACATGAGATTTTCTTGGTCTTTGTCATCTTTACAGATGGTAAAGTCCGTAGTCTGAACTGAAGTTCTGTCTTACTGCATACATTGTTAATCACATTAAAATTTTGAATCTATATTGCCATTTTTCATAGGGTTTATAATGAAATAACAGGCTGCAGGATTCAATACACTGAAATTTTTAGGGCTTACAATTCGTAATGTCCAGATTTTGTCTTCTAAAAACTGTATAGGATTTATTTTCTTTCTGTGTAGAACTAGATTTGCCAAATCTGCCAGACCTCAGATTTGCCAAATCTGCCAGACCTCAGATGGTACTAATGCAGTTCATCCTGGCCCTGTAGATCTTTCTGTAGGCAGTCATCCTGTTTCTAAACACACAGTCTGTAATACTGAGACTGTTAATGGTCCAAATACTTGCCCAGAAACTGAGATATCTCAGAAGTCCATACACTTTTTAAAAACGTCAGCTTTCTAAGAATGTCTGTGTATAATGATGAATAGATAAGTATTTCTAAACTGGAATGTTTCTGAATTTTAAAAAGGAAATTCATGCAGTGGTTGAACCTCAGTTTATTTTAGTTAGTCAAACTTTTACGCTTCAGGGAGAAAATCACAGCTTCCAACCCTAGGAGAAAGAATCCTTGGCAGAATTTTTTATTTCTTCGCTTTTAATTTCAAGGTAGGGCAAACCCTGATCCCCCTGACTACATTTCTCTTCCACATGGACATGCATCTTTCCGTCATATGGGTGTATGAACAAAACTACTTTGTGTTAATAAAATACCTGCTTAAACTCTGTAATTAATGGGTAACCTTATGTCTACCTTTTCTGAAAGATGATTTGATTTTAATGCAATTGGTATTTTCTATGAAGTTTGTGGGTTTAAAACATTGCATTGAGTTTAATTTAAAGGAGAACAATCTTATTTAACCACCCATTTGACTTAGTCTGTGAGAGGAGGTAATGATAGAGACATGCATTTTCTCTATCTGTTGCACAGGTTTATGGTATGCACATGTGGCTACAGATTTTCCTTGTCCTTATTGCTGATCATTCTTTGTTAGCTTGTGCCTTCTCTTGCATTCAGCTGGGCTGAATTCAGCCAAAACCCTTGGCAAGTTGAGGTTAAAAAGTATTTGTCAGGCTAAATGAAATCACTTACTGTGGTTCACAATAGGTAATTGCTATTGACCTTGCCACGATTACAAGAAGCATGCCATTGCTTTTGCCAGGCTGACTTTTCAGAGTTCTGGCTCCTGGCAGGCTCTGGTTTAGGTGTCTGAGAAATGGAAATGAGGAATTGGGGAGAAAATATGTTACATGCCCTGCATGGAATCTTACTTCACAACATGTTTGAATACATAAATAACTTGTAAAGACACTTTTTTTTTTTAATACATGAACCTATAGTCAAGGAAGGAGAACAACTTGATTGCCTTCTTCCTCCACCTTTGGATTCTAGCAGCAGTGTTGAAAGGTAATACTCAACTTACAGGCCGATAAATGCAATCTTTGTTACCTAGACATGTCCCTTAATATTCTCCAGGCTACCACATGATCTTTTGAACAAAGTTGTCTTTAACAAGATTCATTTGGAGCGATGTTTAAATAAAAATTTTAAAAAATAATTGAAATCCTGTCTTGAGGAAGCTGTAGGCAGTAAATATCATCTTCACTTGGAGAGGTAAAATGTGGAGTATACGTATCTACATCCTAGATGTCCCAATTTTGCACTTCCCATTCCTTCTTTAACGTGATGTGCATGAGGCATATGATGGGTCAGTCTCTCCCCAATATCAGAGAATGTTTTGGTCATGTGAAGAGGCAAGGATGACCACACAGGGCATCCACAAAACCAAGTGTGACTTCGTGTATGGGAACCTGTGGAAAGAGAGAGATGTTTCCTTGCAGGTGCAGAGCTTTGCAACTTCTCTCCAGCTTTGCAGGGCTTGTCAGGCAGCAGGTAAGCTGTTTCTGGTATTTAGGGTTTTGAAACAGTAGGTAGATGAATAGCTGTGCTAGGAAGCAGTAAAATCCAGGCACAGCAGCACTGTAGCAGAAGACAGGAGCTAGCTGAGTTTCTCTCAGATGGAAGGTATGAATCTTTACATGTCTGGTAACTGCTCTGTGACGGCTGATTTGTCTGTGGTCTCTGGAAATGATCTGTTTGTACTTATGAGTCTTTAAAATCAAGAAAGGCAGCTAGACCCTTGTTATAGCAAAAATGCTGCTTGCTCACCAGCCATCCAGTTTACTGTACTCCACATAAAGCAGAAGCTTAAAGTTAGAAGTTGAAGTTAGAACTGTACTGCTTTCACATTAAAACCTCAGGCTATTTTTACAGTTGTATCTTTGTGGTGGATTAACTTTGGCTAAGGGCTGAACTCCCACCCAGCCGCTTGGTCACTCACTCTGCCTCCTCAGCAGAGCAGGGGGAGAAGATAGGATGAGAAAGTTCATGGGTCAAAATAGAGATGGGGAGATTGCTTACCAGTTAATGTCATGGGCAAAACAGACTTGACTTAAGGAAAATTAATTTAATTTGTTGCAAATTAAAATAGATTTGGATGATGAGAAGCCAAAAAAAAAAAACCACCCTCCACCCCCCAACACCACCTTCCCATGCTCAACTTCACATCTTCGTTCAGGACTTGTCTATCTCCCCCACCTCCCCAAGCGGCGCAGCGGGGTGGGGAGTGGGGTTTGCAGTCAGTCCATAACAGCTCCTCTCTGCTCTTCCTCCCTCTTCACGCTTTCCCCCTGCTCCAGCACGGGGCCTCTTTGTGGGCTGCAGTCTTTCAAGAACTGCTCCGGCACAGGCTTTCCATGAGCTGCAGGGAAATACCTTTTCCAGCGCCTGCAGCACCTCTTCCCCTCCTTCTTTGACCTTGGTGTTTACGCTGCAGTTTCTCTGGTTTTTGTCCCCTTACGTCCTCTGCCTGTGCAGTGTTTTGCCCTTTCTTAAACCTGTTTTCCGTGAGGTGCCACCATCTTGCCTGAGGGGCTCAGACATGTCCTGCGGTGGGTCTGTTGGAGCCAGCTGGATCCAGCTGTGTCTGGCATGGGGGAGACCCTGGCCTCCCCTCACAGAGGCCACCCCGCCACCCAAACCTGACTACCTACACCCGTTACAGTCTTCCTTCACATTGCTCTAGTTGAAAGCGAAGACTGCTGCGCATATATATTTGTGGGATGTCAGCAGCCTGCAGAACCTTTACTGCAGGTGGGATGAACTTTCAAGTGTACTAGACATTGCTCAGGACAAGAGAGAGTGCAAAGGACTCGGGTGCCATGGCGTGTAAGCAGCCATAATAGAACAAGTTATGCCATTTTCTGAGGGGCTTGCATTATATTTGCATGGAAATTGAAAGATGTGATTTGCTCATTAAATAGAGGATGGCAGTGTGGTTTCATTAACCCATCCCCTATTGAGAAGAAACATGGATAACGTTTGTTGGAGAGGTTTTATTCTCCTACCAATGTGACTTGCTAGTTCCTTAGGCAGGTGAGACACTCTCTGTCTCTGTTGGTAATATTTGACTGACATGCTTTTCCTCCTATAACAGATCATGGTAATGTCAGATGGCACATCATTCTCTTCAGGACAGAGCCTTCATCTCCCCAACCTTCCCAGTAACTCCCTGTCTTTTTCTGAAGTGAAGAAGAAATCATCTCATGGGCCAAAGGTGAGACTTACTTTGCTAGAAGATACTTGAGCCAGTAATGGTTTCACAGGGAATTAACTTGAGAAAAAAAATACTTCTAGGTATTTTTGCAATCTCCTGACACAGTCCAGGTCTTCATGACAGGTCTCGACATTTCTTTGTTGTGAACTTACTGTTCGCCCCATGAAAATAATGCAGAACAAGGATGGCTGTGAGAACAGGTGCCAATGAATGTACTGCTTTTCTGGTTTTTGTACATGCACAATTGTTTTCCTCCTTTTCCAGAAGGAATTCTAATGGTCCGTTGTAGTAATAGGGGATTCTGATGATGGAAGTGTGATCTACAGAAATGTAAAGAATATAAGAAAATACTATAATAATCGTTTCATTTATTAAGTATTTTTGAATACTTTTTAAGATAATTGGGCAGAGTGAAACTTGAAGTTATGTTCTTGAGGATTTTTAATTTTGTTTAAATTTCAGAGCTTAATTCTTTACTAGGTGTTTCAAAGACAGCACTGTGTCATCAGTCTTTAGGAGATCAAATTGAATCCCCAACCTAGCACATGGTAAAAAGGTATAGTCCAGTGAATGTTTTGAGTAATACAAATGGACCTTTCCAAAACAGCAGATAATTTCTTCAGTTTGACAAAATGAATTAATGATGTGGGAGAATAAAAGGCATCTTGTTATTTATTCAAATAAGGAATGCAACACAGTAACTTGCTTCGTAAATTAATTAACATATATGCCTTTTCTCCAGTCAGTTAAATTGTTTGGGGTTTCGTTTTCTTTCTTAGCATCTTGTCAATTTGAAATACGTTACTCAATCTTGCAGTGCACGTACTGCAAGGGGCAATACCCATTTTTATCAATAACTTTCATGTTCTGTAGCTGTGCCAAATCTTGTATCTTGTAAGAACTGCCAGGTAATGAACTATGGGTATGCCTAAGTGTGTCCATTGATAAGAATGTATCACAACAGTAAGGATATGGGGCAGGGGGCGGGGGTGGGGGTGGGCGGAGAAGTTCTTTGACATGTTCCTGCCTGGTTTGCGTTGTACCTGAGTGCCTCACAATCTCTGATGCAGGTCTTCTTGTGACATTTAAAGAATATATGGATGTGTGACTATTTTTATTTTCCTAATGAGGATCTGAGGTAGATGGAAGCTGAGGATTAGACTGAAGGTGCTTATTTTGGCATGCTCAGATGACTGCGTAATGCCTAAAAGGAAGGCACCTGGCTACACCAAAGTGATGCAAGGTGCTGAAAATAACTGTCTGACTGCTTAGACTAGGACTCATCTCCATCTGTTCTGGTACTGAAGATGAGTTACTTTAACACTTTACAATCTGTAATAGGGGTTCTTGTGAGGTTGGGTAGCTCTCTAGAGTTCAGTTTCCAATCCCTTCTTCGGATTCGGCTGTAATGTTGGTTCACCCATGTCTTGCATTGCATGCCAAAGCAGGCATACTGAGGCTTGGCCTAAATAAGCAACCCAAACACCTGGAGAAGGACTTCTGGGAGGTACGGACATGATACCAAGTCGTACACTAACGCTCCATCTAGTAACTGTACACCATGCTAAGCCTTGAATCTCCAGCATAAATTCTTTCATAAGCAAGTGCTAACCTGGGATGTCATTTTCTGAACCGTATTCAGACAAGGAACTTTTGTCTGGTGTAGAAACTTGACAAGTGTGGAGTGTGGTTGGGGTGAAGCAGGGCAAAGGGAGTGTGGCATGTTTGCTGCACTGGTCCTTAAAAATGCATGTTTGAAATCTTTCTTGCTGAAGCAACCCGACCACCTGCAGTGAGTTTGACGCATAGCAGGAAGTTACAGGAGTCAGTAGGAGGTTAGATGTGCATCGCATCTCAGGATTGTATTCAATATCTGTAAAACTGTTACCCCAAGAATGTTTTTTAACTATTTGGTTTCAAAATAGGGATGTTCAGCAGCAATGCTGTCTGTTTGAAATCATTCTTTTTTCAACCTTGTATGCTGTTTACCGGAGTCTTTAATAGTGGGAAGAGATGTTATATTAATACACTGTTTCTTGCCAGTCGGTGTGAATATTCAATTTTTCCCTCCCCCAGCAATCTTTGTTTTCTCCTGTCCAACTTAAAAAACACACACTAATGAGCAACTGTTCTTGTATCTCATAAAGAAAGAATTGTAAATATCTGCCTCACTGAGGATCATCAGCTCTTCTTGAGAAATGGAAATGTGAAGTAACCTTGGTTTTAGTATAACAAAAGGGTTTGGTTTTTTTCTTACAAATCCTGGGAGCTGACAACCCTTGGATTTTTGTCTTTCGGGTTTTTGTTTTGGTTGGGGGGCAGGAGAGTTCCAGCCAATGTGTAAATAGGTTTTTGTTTTTGTAATTTGGAATAAACCCAGTGATGGAACAACTTAAATGTCCAAATTTCGTTTAGATATGCCTCTAGATTAGGAGCTGTAGAAAGGTCTTGGTAGTTCTTGGGTGTAAGTTGTCTGTACCAACACTGTGGATGTGTGTACTCCAGGTTTGTGTGTACTGGATGGTTTGGGTTTTTTCTGCTGCAGCAATAGCCTTTTGTTGTGCTTGGCTTGGTTTTGGTTTGCTTTGTGTCTATGAATACTGAAGTAAACTTTGAGGTCAGTTTTAAACTCTGAGTATGGAAAACCAGAACCTAAGAATATTTGCTTACCCATTTGCCATCACAAAGCACCACACAGACTTTCTGGTTAGAGGAGGATTGCAGTCAAGACAGTAAAACCGGTGCAATTAAGTGGTATTGTTGGTTTAGCATTCACTTATGAAAAAATACAATGCAGTATGAAGTAAGAGAGAACTGTCAGTTTGCTTTCTGTCACATCCTCTTCTGAAATATGTATTAAAAAATATAGATGTTTGTATTTCTGAAGTTCCATGATTTTGTGTTTAATTTGATGGAGATGGTATTAGTGAGCCCCAGTATTGTGATTCTAAAACAGAGCTTTAGTGTTGGAAATACAGAGGACAAGCAGAATGCATGAAACCTTACTTTATGGATTTTTTCAGCATGTAAAAATAGCTGCAGGCTAGCTCCAGATACTTGTGTTGCTTTTAAATCAGTTGTATTACTGTGCCTGTTTGTATCATGTAAATACTACCTGCACAGAACACGGCAAAACAGCTTGGGTACTTTTGTTGGGATGATTATGTCTTTTGGAATGAGTTGTAGTATCAGCTGCAGTGAAATGAGTTTTACTTTATAAACAAAAAAACCAAAAGCTCTTTTCCCATGTGTGACCAGAAAAAAAAAAAAGTATTGTTTTATGCTCCCCCTTTTGGCTTTCTCTGTCAAACCAGTGAGCCTTGTAATTCTCCATCTGCTTCTAATTCTCCTGATGTCATGGGTCATAATAGTTTGGTGGGCTGGACAAGCTGAAGTGTGGAAAGCTTTGTAAATGTGCGATACAGTAATAATCTGTAAGAAGAACTAGCAACAGGTAAATTCATCTCCAGCATGCAACTAGCAAGTGGAAGAATACAGCAGTATTTGAGGAGGCTTTCAAAATGTTGTGGGTTTTTTTTTCCCGAATCAGTTAGTGTTTTTATTCAATAGTAGACACAAGTAATTCCTTTCAGATATCTTCCTCCTCTTTTCCTCTTAAGAGCAGGAGGCACATTTGAGACTAATTCCAGTCCATTGGCTTAAGATGGGCACATTATTTCGATAGGCATAACATTTGAAGAAATGCTTTTTTATTACAAATGAAAATAATGCATGTTTTTATGATCACTAATCCTAAATTTGTAGACTAAACCCAGAGTACAGTAGACAGGCATGGCCATGCCAATGTGCTCAGTTTAATGACTTCATAAAATTTAATGAACCTCTCTCCCCACAGTTGCTTCATTTGCTAATTAGGTTCCTAATGTCTGTCAGCAACTGGAGAGGTTTGAAATGATTTCCAGAGGATACTGCTTATTCAAACTCATGTTCAACCAAATTGGGAGTTACTTTTGGTGGTGTGAAGTTAGAATCCGACCCAGCAAGATATACTGAGTTCAACACCATTTTTTGATTTGTAGTTACAGAAGTGTTTTAATCTGCAAATGTGTTACCTGTTGAGCAGCTGTCATGGCCCGTTTGGATCTCTCAAATGTACAGGACGACGTACCCTGTGATTTAAACTTTTATTTCATGAGCTCATTAAGTAATACAACAAACAAACACGACAAAGGGGGCTCAGTCCCCTTTGCCCAGACTAGTCTATTACGTGAATTCATTTATTCACCACACAAGTCATACGGTTTCATAACTTACAACCTGCAACTCTTAATCCATGCACTGAGGAGCAAAAAACCCAAAAAACTAGTTACCTAGCCAACGGTGAGAGTGCCCATCCTTCCTCCTCTGTCACGGTGCGGGCGTACTCTGTATCACACTGGGAAACACGAAAGCCTCAGCAGTCCAGCTGCTGATGGATCCACTTCAAAAGCTTTTTTTTTGTAAGCTGATGTTTTATACCTTCCAGCTTGGAGGTTTGGTTTATATCATTTCCGTAAACTAGCAGATTCTGATGAAACTGCGAGACGAAGATGATGGTTGCAGGAGACAGCAATTTGCAGGTGATCATGGCTGCGTAATGGCCTTTTAGCTCTTTCTGGCCACCTGTTCTGCCTACCTGATGCTCTTGCTGCTCCCAGCATACATCAGGCCTTAGCATGAGCTGTCTTAGCCAAAATCTGAGCAGGAGTTGAGTGCAGCAGTCACAGTAGCACAGTTTTTCTCTGTTGGTAAAACCTTAGATTTTTATCATGCTTTCTAAAATATTTATTTTTAAAGATCTGTTAGTACTGCTCTATGAAAGGGGTTATATGTACTGTATGTACATGGTGTTACATGGCTTAAGAAAAGAAAACATCTGCGGGTATTTTAACATGCATATAATCCTCTGTATTATTCTTTTGATGTTTGTTATGCAATGTATCAAAGTGCAGCATTCACTTGGGTTTTTTCAATATTTGACGAATCATAGAATCATAGAATCATTAA